TTGGCAGAGTGAATATCAAAACTGGTAATGTACTTTGTACAATAAGCGGGTGCTTTTTGAAAATATGTAGCAGTTGAATGGGTTTCTGTGATTCTCAGTAATGTATTAAAGTATTAATTGAGTATGAGAGGGGGGGGGTACATTTGAACAAAATTATATACGTATGTGCAATACATATTTATTGACTTGGAATGGAAAATAAGTGGAATGTTGTTTTATTTAACAAATTAAGTTAACAACATGACATATTTAATGAAAAAACTGAAGTTCTCTTTTCAGTAATTTATGGTTATGGGTCTGTTGAAATGTGCCCTGTCCTCAGAGGTACCATTGAAGAGCAAAGGGGCATGTTTGTAGACACAAACATTATTTTTTTAATGTGAAGCAAACAAAATTAATGTGTTGAGAAATTTATATAAAAATGTGTTCCTTGTAACTACTAATTTTGGCCAAGAGACTTGGGGTGCCTCGGTATGGGCCTCCAGAAACACCGGGCTGAGTCAGTTTGAGTATAAAGAAAATTTCCATTTGTGTCCATGTCCAAACATGTTTCTTCATGTTCTAACACTTCAAAACTAGGGGCCACTTCCAAGATGTGTACCAGACATCACTTTGTCATTGAACCATAAATTCTTTCAGAATTTACAATCATTGTCCCTCCTTTCCTGAAACTGCCTGTTCATGTTCCCAGCTGAGCGGCAACATTTGAAGCCTGTAAAAGTGTTGATACGCCTGTTTTATCAACATTGTACATTCTCCAGTGTCACAGACTGAAGAGCTTGTTTGTAGGCTGTCAAAAATGCCCATGGCATTTGTTTTACTGAATGCGGCAACACAAGAAAACTATTCCAAGCTTTCTAAGCTTGTGGTTTGTATGTCATTTCATGAAACCTTGCAGTGAGTCACTTTCTACACGTCTGTTCTCAGTCCAACTGTTCGGAAATTTGCGGGACAGTTTTGTTGTATAGTCATAGGCAAGTTTATGTATCTGTACATCATACAGGCATTTATGTCACACTGTTTGATAATTTGATCTATCGACATCAATTCCTAGTTATGATTAAAGATTTGTTGACCGCTACTTTAAGCTATACGTTGTCCCACTGTTCAAAAACACTTCCACCTGCCTTGGATTTCTCAACTGCATAATATAGTGCTTTGTGGGCCATTCCATTGCACTGAAGCTGCATCATGTAGTGATAGATACAGCTTTGATGGCCTTATTGAAATATGATACATCAGGTTTATTGTGCTTTTAAGTGTATGCATCCATTATTTTCTCACCTTTAAATATATTATAAACCCAATTACTTACTTGTACAACACATTACAGTAGATTATGAAACATTCCTCTATTAGGGTACATTTGAACAATGTTTAAATCTGTCTATATGCAGTATTTGAATGTGCCCTTTGTGTTTTTATTACAAATAAACATTCAGAAAATAGTATAGCAGAATCAAATAAGCCAAAAATATTTATTGTAGGAGATATTCCAGACAATAAAATCCACTTTTTTTTTAATTTGCAACAAGAATCATCAGAAATTAAACCCACAAATTTACCGACCATAAAAGACGACTCTTTTCAGAGACTGTGAAGTACAGACATGATGTTGGGCGTTAAGCAGGAGTGCTTAACTCAGAAAGCAAAACATGATGCTTTCAACTGGTTGGAGTGAAATTCGGAGTGCTGAAATCTGCCGTGTTCAACTGTACCACCATTTTCACTGCGTCATGTGACCAATAGGAAAACAATAACTTGAAGTGGTAATATCATCCAGCTTCTGGATGACTTTGAAAATTAGACAACTCCTTGTCCAACAAATAGGACTAGAAATGGCCTCATGAGCTAGTGCTTCCAGTGCAGTGTGACAATGCTGCATGCTGTACCTTAAAGGTGGAGTCTCAGGGTAGAACTGTTTCTTTGTATTTATTGTGGTATACATACTGTTTGTACATAAGTCAGGATACATTTTAAAATATGAATTTTAACCACGTTTTAAAGACCTGGTTGCATAATGGTGTCAATATAATGTGTTAAAATCTGCTCTAGCACATATTTTTGGTTTATATAGAGAAAGATACATTTATCTTACTACTTTGGAGACAGGGAAGATTAGTATATGAAATTAGTCCACAAGTTTTTATAATTTTTTAAAAAACCTGAAGTAAAATTTTTGTTGTTAATTACTTACAGAAATTCTGAACAGAAATAATTTGAAAGTGCATGTTTGTAGTGTTAGTATGCATGTGTGTGTATTATCATAAGAGTCTTAACATTCTTGTGAATTCCCTGATTTAAGAAGAGACGTTAGACAATGCTGACAGAACACTGTGGGAAGCTGTTTTTTGTCACTGATTTCCAGTTTTGGTATTGTTATGCTGTGTGAAAAGATATCATCCCTCTAAAGAATGTACAGTATTTTGAAATTAGATTGTAACTGAGTGTGCAGTACTACTGCCAAAGGAAAACATACTTTTAGAGACATTATCAAAAGAGATGAGTTGTAGAATATTCAAAATCGAGTCCTTCATGCTATAATTTGAAATACCAGAAATGTGTTTATTATTAAGTGTTCTGTCTTACGACAGGTCCATTGCTCTGCCCAAAAAGAGCTCTCCAGTTGTCCCTATTCTCGGCTTCTCGCTTTAATTCCTGGAACGTCATCTTCTTTCCTTGTTTAAGGTCGTCGGTTAGCTGTATCAATCTTCTTCCTAGTCCTCTCTTTCCTTCAACCTGGCCTTCGATGATATCACTCATTAATCCATTCCTTCTCATAATATGTCCAGAAATGTGTATGGCATAAAATATAGCAAATTATTTGAACAAATATAAAAGTGTGTGTGTGTGTGTAATGAATTATTAAAATTTTACAAGTGTTTGTGAATTGCTGCTACCTTTACCTGTTCCTCATTTAAAAGTTTTATCATCATTTCATCAGGTTCTGATTGTAAGTGATGTTGCACTCGTTTCTGTGGACTTGGACGGTGTCACGTTTTGTCTTGTAGGAGCACATCATTCATTTACCTTAGAAAATTGCAGATTTGTTCACACGTGCAGTATATGTCTGCTGAAAACGCACCACTGCAGTTCTTATTTCATTTGCACTTTCAGCTCGACTGATGATATTAGATGGCGCTGACGACAATGGCATGTTAACATGACAAAGCAGGAACTGCGATGAAGGAAAAATTATTAACGTGAAAGATGTCGAGTTCAACCTGTTGACAGAATGCAAACGGACATCCCAAATTGCTAATAAATTACAAGCTGCATAGTTTAAGGGAACAAAGATAACCTTTAAAGAGACTTGGATGGATGAGGCTAGAACAGGTCAATGGTTAACCAAACTCCTTGCCTGCTGCTAGATGATTTTTATGATGCCTTTTGAAGCAGGATGGGAGATTTTAGCTAGTTAGTTGAGTTTGCTCCATATTCTGCACTGTATGTCAGTTATATACAGTGCTTACTAGTAACTCCATGAATGAGAGTCCTTGAGAACCCAATATATAGTCCCTCAGCTAGTCAAGAAACTCTACGCCTTTTTATGGTCCCAAAAGGCTAATTGCTGTTTATACAAGAGCCTGGTACTGGTCATGATCCTGTGTCAAATGAACGCAATCTTCTTCTTCCCACTATGTATCTTTAAGGTGAATTTTAATACCTTCCTTATATTTACTACTGGAAATAAAATTATATAGCCTGAATGGTCATCAGTCTATCGTGTCTTAGGACTGTAAATAGTAAGTATTAGAACTTTGTTTTATATTCCTTCTAATTAAGGAATATGTCATGAACAGAAACTTTAGAAATGTATCGTTGAGTTTTAAAACACACGAATTGTTCGCAATTTTTGTATTGCTTATTAATACTAAGTAAATGTCATTTAATTCTATGGTCTACTAAATATGTAACGTTAAATAATACGGATTTCTGTTAATAATAACTTATTTATGGCAACCAGTTTCTACCAGTTTGTTTCAAACGGTTCAAACATTATGTTTAGAACAGTCATGTAATACAAAATTATGAGTGCATAGAGATGCAATGTCTTGAAAACCAATAGTAACTTTGCTGTTTAAGGATATGATACAGAGTGTTGCACAACTAGTCTGCCATACATTGGAGAAGGAATACAGGGGGTAACTTTGAGCAAAAACGTTAATGAAAAGATGAACCTATTTCTAACCCTTGTGTAGGTATTGTAGTTTGCACAGGAAAAATTCAAGATATTAATCTGATTAATTTATTTCTTAATTTTATGAGAAAAATCATAAGTGTTCAGAATATCTGTCACAGTTTTCAGTACACATCCTTTCATGTTCCAAACAATATTTTACTGCCTGTTAAATAATTTTGGTGCATCAGAAACAACTAACTGAAGAAATAACCGAGTATCAGTATTGGTAACATCTTCAGCAGAAACCATTACCAGTGTTGCCATTTGTCAAAGTACATTCAAGTAGGCATTTGTTGTTTGAACATTCCAAAACGTCCATAACTCCAGAATTGTTGGAAATAGGGCCAATTCTGTATTGACATTTTTTTATGTGTAATTGTCTCTGAAATCAACCCCCTTGTTTTGCTATTTAAGCTTTATTTGTATGAAGAGAGATCATAGGGTACTTTCAATAAATACATCAACATGACACAGCAAGAGGAAGGGTACAGAAATGATGAAAAGTACAGGATTTTTAATTTGTCAGAGAAAAGCTACCATGTACTTTCCATAGTTTCATGTATGCTGTAGTTTTGAATGACCACATTGAAATTTGTTTGTAGTACCTCTTGCAGAAAGTTGTGAAACAAATGTCTATGAAAAAAATTATGTTGTTTTATCTGCAAGAAGTTCATGTTACGGGTACGAGATGAAAATGCAAAACATCTAAAATTCTGACTGGAAAGGAATTCCAGAAAATATGAAAATACTGGAATTCTAGAACCAGGCCACTTTGATGCAAATAACGACAGTCCTGCGTTGTTAGTAATTAATTCACTTGATCTGTTACGTAAAGAGTGGGATACGTAGCAAAGGTCTTTCCACTAAAATTGGGTTACACAGGAAGAAAACTCTTTCCTTCTGCGTTTCCTTTCCAATGTAATCATACACAACAGTTTCGAAAATATTGAGTACGTTATTGTGAGGTTTCATTTATTGAACAGGTTTGTTATCGAATAATTCGATTACACCCATCACTGTGATGCATGATCACAGGCGAATCGACATTATGAAGTAGTAGAAGTGTGTGTAAAGGAGATCGAATGATTGTAATGCGATCGCGGAGTAGACTGAACACAAACTTGAAAGTGAAGGAATTGGAGTGACAATGCTAGGTAATACAAATTAGAGACATAACGTAAGTCAGTAATTTGCTAATGTCTTACGAGGTCAAAATTGAGAAGCTTGCTCTTGCGAACCTGTGTAATTGTGGTACGAATAAAATCAGCCAGCCAGAATAATTATTTTATATTTTCACTTTAAGTTATTTCTTGTGAGCATGAAGTTAATGGCCCAATTCATTTTACGTATCTAATAACACTGTTTTCGAAAATGGGGTACATACGTAAACGCTATAAACTACAATTTATGTCACGTTCAAATACCGGCACTCTGCAAGTTAAGATATTAAACATGACTCAGATTCGATCTCAATATACCACGCACTGTGATATCCTATCAGTAATCAATGCTACTTAATTGGAGGTTAGGTGGTCACATTGTATTCCCGGGTACGATGTCGCTTATTGTATATACAAAGCTAATGCTACCCTTGATAATTCTGCCAGTGTTATGGGAACATTAAGTGAAGCTCCAAGTAAGGACGA